CCTGGAAGCCTATGTTCTTGTCTTGCCTCCTGCCTTTTCTCTCTGCTTCCTGCCTGCCCTGGGGTGGACATCTGTGCCCTGCCCAGGCCCTGCCCGCCTTGGAGCCAGGCACCTGGGACTGACTCCTGAAAACCACAAGCCAAAATAAGCCCCCGTCCCTTTAACCTGAGTGTGTCAGGTGTTGTGTAGCAGTGCAGAGGAGCTGAGGAAAGCGACTAAGACCCAGGGTCTCTCCAAATTGCTAAGTAACCCAGGATGGGTGACGTGTGATCCTCTGACCTCACCTCCCGAAGTACTGGGGTTACAGGTGTGCACCACCACGCCCAGCTTCTCTTATTTTTAATTCCAGCGCTGGGGACTGAACCCAGGAGCACTGAGCTACATCCTCAGCCATTTTTAATTTTTTATTTTTTGGTCTTTTTGAGACAGGGTCTCGCTATGCAATTCAGGATGGCCTTGAGCTCACTTTGTAACCCAGGCTGGTCTTGAACTCACAACAATCCTCCTGCCTCAGCCTCCCGAGTGCTGGGATTACAGGCATGCGTCATCACGCCCGGCCATTTTTATTTTTTCACCTTTTCATTTTAAGTCACGGTCTCACTAAATTGCCCAGCCTGGTCTTGAACTGGTGACCTTCCTGCCTCAGCCTTCTGAGCAGCCAGGATTCCAGGCATGGGATACCCGGCCAGCTTCGCTAGTTGGCGGCTATTCATTCTTAGGGTCTCAGCTTTATATCATTTCTTTAGGGAGCTTTTCCTGAACAGTCCGGCTACTTTGGACTCCCGGACACGTTTGAGTAGCACCTTGTGCTTCCCACTCCAAAGCCTCATCAGAGTGAAACTTACACAACCTGGGTTGGTTCGGCTCAACAGGAAAGCGCTTCCCTGAGTGAGTGAGGCCCTGGGTTCAATCCCAGCCCCCCGCTCCTCCCACACTTCGGTCTCTGCCTCAGAACAGAAGGGGCCCCGAGTCCGTCCTCCAGGACTGCAGCACACACCTGGCACCGCAGCAAGCTGTGAGCTTGTGTCCTGTCCCTCGGAGACAGGAGAAAGGGCTGGTACTCTGCCCGCCGGCCGTCTCTGTGCTGCTCCTGTGTGCCAATGGTCTGAGGCACTTTGTCCAGCAGCCTACAGGCTTGGGCAAGGACAGCCAGAGGTGACAAGGACATTTCTGGTTTGGTTTGGGATTTTTGGAGACGGCCTCCCGCCTCAGCCTCCTCAGTGCTGGGATTGCTAGCGTGCGCCACCACGCCCAGACAACAGGGAACTTCAAGCTCCCCAGAGGATTCCTAGGTCAGGTCCTTCGTGGGGTCAGTGCATATGCAGGTCATAGGTAGCTGCGTGGGGCACGGCAACCCACGGTGTGAGCCCCGTCACACCGTCCTCACGCGTGCCTGTCACGCCGCTGGTTCACACCAGGCTGGAAACGGGAGGCAGCAGCACACACTTGCCAGCACAGCTGTGTCCACTGCAGGCTTTGCGACTTTGGGGTGTGTGTGTGTGTGGCGGCACAATCGCAGCACCTGGGAGGCTGAGGCAGGAGGATTGCAGCAAGTTTGAGGACAGCCTGGGCTACACAGTGAGACCCGGTCTGAAAACAAACAAGATAACTGGGGGATGTAAGAGGACGGAGGAAAATGAGAGTTTCGAGGGCAAGGGCCCTACAGTGGGCCTCAGGGGTACCGGAGGCCGGGTGTGGGCCTGGGCTCAGGGAGGGCCTGCTGGTGGCTATAGGAGGGGTTGTGGGGGGCCAGTGTACCCCAAGAGCTTCCAAGGAGCTTCTCATACCACATGGGAGTGTTGAACGGGGGGGACCCAAGGGAGAGCCGGATGGGGGGCATGCCCCCTGGAGCAGGCGCAGGAGGGGGTGTTCTGGGCGGTGGCTATGGTGGCACTGGGTGTCCTAAGCCCTGAGGGCCGTGGTTCACCAGCTGCATCCGTGATCAGCAATCTCGGGCCAGGTTCCCGAGTCAGCCCCCCATGCAGGTTTGTGGTGCGAGCCGATGCCCTTTACACGTTCGATCTTGCTCAGCATCTTTACCCATCCTCAGTGTCACCTCCCTCACCCTGGGAGCCAGCAGCGACCCTGTCCTGGGAGCATGAGCACAGGCCTCTGGCCCGGCCCGGGAACAGCTACCTAAGCACTGGCCCTTCTCAGCTCGGTCCCCACACACCATGGCACCTGCTTCCATCATGAGGCCACCTCTTGCCCGCCTGGGTCTGCCTGAGCCTCCCTGTGTGGACGACGTGGTCATGTGCGTGGACACAGGATTTGGAGGCTGGGAAGTCCAGGCTACACACTGCTTCAGAAAGTTATTTGCTGTAAAACAAATTTACCTAAGTTTCTGGACCTTTTTCATTTATAAAATGGGTATATTACTTATGATAGCGAGTTATTTTGTAAGAGAATTTCTTTTAAAAATCTGATACAGGGCCACGTGTAGCGCACACATGTAATCCTGGCACTCCAGGAGGCTGAGGCAGGAGGACCACAAGTCTGAGCCAGGCCAGGGCAATCCAATGACTGTCTTAGTCACTTTCTCCTGAGACGTACTACCCAGCACCCGTAATTTAAAGATTTATTTTGGCTTGCAGTTGGTAGAGGCTTCAGTCCACAGTTGATGGCTCCAGGGCGGAAGTGGCACGGTGGCAGGGCCTGGCTGGAGAGAAGCTGCTCAGCTCTCAGTACAAGGAAAGAGGCGCAAGGGAGGGTGGCTGGAGAACCGCCCAGGTCACACCAGGCCCAGGCCTCGCCCACCATGGTCACCTTTTCCTGCCCCACCTACGAGCATAGGAGGCTGTGGTGGAGGGAACATCTAGATGGAGCCACAGCAGGGACCCAGCAAGACCCTGTAGCTCAGTGGCCCGGGGTTCAACCTCCAGTACCGGGGAACTCCAACACAGAAGCACACAGATGGGGGCAGCAGTGGCAAACCTATGGCACGCGTGCCGCAGCCAGCTGTTTGTCATCATCGAAAGCTCTAAAAGGTTCGCCATCACTGGGTTAAGCCCCAAAGTGTTCGGGTGACAGTACCCATGCCAGGCAAGGAGTCAGTAGCAAACAGGACCTGCACGGAGGGAGGTTGCTTGCGAAGCCGTGGGCAGAGCTCGTAGAGGCCAGCAGGGTAATGGGCAACCCGCAGGGAGGAGCGGAGCCGCGGCCCCGCCTCAGCCAGGGCACCGGGCGCCCCGCTGCCTCACGCCCTGTGCCTCCGCCAGTAGCCGCCAGTCTACAGCTACTTTGCGCGGGACCCCAGTGCTCTTTCTTTTCTGCTCAAATTCTGTTCGTTAAGCTGTTTTTTTGTTTTGTTTTGTTTTTGGAGACAGGGTCTTGCTGTGCAGTTCAGGCTGGTCTTGAGCTCACTTTGTAGCTGAGGCTGGTCTCGAAATCACAACAATCCTCCTGCCTCAGCCTCCCACGTGCTGGGACTACAGGCGTGCGCCACCATGCCCGGCTTTCTATTCGTTAAGAATTCAGGAATTTAAAAAAAAAAAAAATTAAAAAAGAAATAACTACTTTTACTTCAAAAAAAAAGTCAGGAATTGGACTTCCTTTTAAATTCAGAAAACCCTATGGTGGTAAAACCCATAACCGTGCTGACGGGAATATTTTGGATCTCTTATCCAAGAGAATAAAAGAAATCAGGACATAATTTCACATTGACATTTTTATTAACGCCAACTTTTTTAATTATTATTTTTAAAACAATAGCACAAAAATGTTTCCAGGAAGCAGTCTCACAATCTGATGGCCTTCCGCAATACAGTTAAGCCACACCAAATATGAATTCGTTAATAACACAAAAAAGGTTTTTTTTTTTTTTTTTTTTTTAAAGAAAAATAAGGAAAACAGAAAGGCGGGCGAGGAGGGGAGGAGGCAGGGTCGCGCCCCGGCCGGGCTCGCAGCGGCCTCCAGCGCGCAGGCGCCGCGCTGGGCCAGGCGGGGCGCGGGGAGGGCCCTGGCGGGCGGCGCAGCCCAGCAACCGCTTTAGAACGCGCGGGCTGCGCCTCTCCACGTCTACTGTCTCACCTACACGCAATCCAGGGCTCTGAGCGTCATCTTTAGAAAGGAAAATAACGTGTATCAGGCTGTTATGTAACGTGGCTATGAAAGGCGCTTCCTTATTCTCATCTCTAAGAAGGACACCGGGGCGGGAGCGGGGAGAACTAAAGGGAGGAAAACCCGAACAGGGCAGGGCCGTTATTCTTTAAAACGTTTTTCTTTGTTGGCCAAGGGGTCACACAGAAGGGAGGCAAGGAGGGAAACTACAGTCCTTGGTTCAGCCTGGGCTGTGCAGCAAAGCTGTCTTCCCGGTCCGGCCCCACGCCAAGGAGACGCGCGCCGCCCGCTCCCGCGGACCCTCCTCGGCGGCGCCTCCCGCGGGTTAGAAACGGACGTCTGTCAGGAACGGGAGAGTGTTAAATACTTTTTACCACTGACAAGGCTTCAGGAAGTTTCACAGTTTCATTATGCTCTATTTTATTACTATCATATTTACATTTTAATTTTTATTTTATTTTTTGCTCAATTGCTGATTTGCCTTTTTCAATAGAATTTAATTCTGGAGTGTGAGCAGGAACCAGTTAACTACATTCATCGTCCGACCCCCACTGCTTCCGTCTCAAAGAAGACTCGAGTTCTTGGCATGTGACTCCGCTCGCAGGCGGCTCCCCTCTGCCCGTGCCCACGCGGCCGGCGGGGAGCGGGACCCGGTGGCGCGGCGGCCGGGCTCCGGGC